GGGGGGGGAACCTCGGGTTTATGGCCAGTTGGTCAGCACAGGTAACAACCTGGAGTTGTGATCGGCACCTAAAGTAGGGGCGTGTGTGAGACCAAGCCCTCCACCCGTGGGATCGGATACTGTCTGCAGGTGGACACGGTTAGAACTGAACAACTGGGGACACACTGCTGGTGTCTGGAGAACCAGAGGACTGCTTGGTGGGTTGGAACGCGCTGCGCTGGCCGGTGCCAAGCCGTCTCCCCTCTCCATGTTCCCAGAGGCGTTCACGAAGAACACCGGTCTGCTTCTCCGGCAACTTTTATTGGTCAGAAGACGTGGAATGCATACGCAGCACCTTCGGCTAGTTAACAGGCTCGTTTATAAACCAGCTTAACACTGACATTATTTTAAAAGTTTCTGTTCTGAGTGAAAGGATGTGTGGAATGGACACGCTCCTGCCCAGGCAAGAAGCCATTCAAAAGGAGCCGCCTGCAAAGCGACCAGAAAGGGGACCCCGAAAGAGGCATCTTCCAGCCAGGTCGGCCCAAGTATTTGTCCAGTCAGAGAATCTGCTACATATTCCAACTTTACAAGGTAAAATATTCAAGGTTTTTAAAGAGCAAAATTAAATTATCTAAAAGATACTGATATTTTTATCCAAGTTACTTCCCAGAGTTGGGAGTGCCACTGTGCTCTGTTGATTAAAATAAAATGACCGGAGCAGTGGGCAGCTGCCTGGTCAAGTGAGACTCACCCGTCAGCCTGTAACTAACACACCAGGTGAAGAACAGATACAAGGCGAAGTGCTTGTCATCTCTCCAGCCTTAAGTAACGCTGTATTTCAACTCAAAAGGAAAGTTCTTATATATTTTTTGCATTGACATTTTAAAATATCAGAACAAGTCTTTGCAATATAATATACATTATACAGTAAACCTCAGATGAATTAAAAACTTGTTGACTTAGTAACTGTACTAAGGCAATTAAGAATTCGGCAAAAGCTATACAGGAATTTCTTAGTGGTATCCCTTTAATATTGACTTGCTTTAGTGGGTTTCCTTAAAAGGAACACAAAATAATAAAAGGCTTAAAAAAGAGGCAGTGATGCTATAATACCGAATCCCAGAAACAGCACAGTCGCAAACGGTGTTTTCTAGCAGGAAGACCAGACAGATCAGCAGCCCGGGGACAGGTGTGCAGCCCAAGGTTCCAGGCTCTGTGGCATCAACAACAGCCGAGAGCAGAATCAGCTGCCTGGTAAGTTTGGTTCAAGGTCCCAGAGTCCTGGTGTTGATCCCAGCGCCTAAGACAGCAGTGCTCAGGCCTCCCTTCCCGCACTGATCTGCATGAAGATGCTTTAAAATCAACAGAGTGCTGGACAGAGTCAAGTTCATAGAAAAACTCCATTGTGATTTTATTTCGGTATGAGATAACTACTGATCTAGTGTTTCCAGCGTGGGTCACGTAACCGCCTCGTGGGCTACGGCAAATGGAATGAAACAAGCACTGCACTGGCCTGAAGCCAGAGTCTGAGGAGCAGGTCATGAGTTAAACCACCGTGCATAACATGATCAGTGCACACCGCACGTCAACAGGTTTTAGTTCATATGATTAAAAAAAATAAAATATTGGACCGCGTTTAGTGTAACGTTCTATTATATCATACATCAGATACCATGCTGCAGAGATGGCGCGGGCTCGATATATACAGTACAGAGCCAGGACTTAACCAAAGGAGGAGGGGCAACTACGGAACAGCAAACTTTACATACGTGTACACACCTGACGTACTGTCCACTGACTCAGGTTCACCGCGTGGTTCGTGGTGCCCCATTCACTAGTTTACGTAACACCCAAGGCGCTTTCCCTCCCGCACAAAGATCTACTTCTGTATAGAGTAGAAGGTGATGGTGAAAAACTTCAAGCTCCAACAACTGTGTCCCAAACATCACTGTGCGATCACCTAAGAAATACGAAGAACAATTCAGAAACACGCATGACTCTCGGTGTACAAATAAGCATGGCTTAAAATCCCAAAGGGAGGAGTGAAGACTTCCGACGTTTACGCTTACGCCGATTAGATAATACATAAAAAGTCCACTGTGGGAAGTAGGACAAGAAAGGAAGCTTTAAAAAGTTAAAATCTCCACATGTGAATGTTTTCAGTGAGCCTCCTACTTGGCAACAGGCACATTCACAACTTCCATGAGCCCAGAGGCCTCCTCACTGACACGAAGACAAGAGACCCTCCCTTGGTCACTCCCATCAACTACGTCCTCCCTCCCTCCCTTCCTTCCTTCCCGAGCAGGCGCATAAGGATTTCCCGTAGATCTGGGGATGCTGAACTAGCCTTGCACACCTGGGAAAATCCCACTTAGAGGTGGTATATAATTCTTTTCATAGTGTTGGATTAGATTTGCTAATTTTTTTTGAGGATTTGTGCATCTCTGTTCACAAGAGATACTGGTGTGTAATTTTCTTGTAATGTCTTTGTCTGGTTTTGGAATTAGGGTAATGCTGGCTTCATAGAATGAGTTAGGAAGTATTTCATCTGCATCTGTCCTACGAAAGAGATTGTAGAAAATCAGTGTAATTTCTTCCTTAAATGTTTGGTAGAATTCACCAGTGACCCCATCTGGGCCTGGTGCTGTTTTGGAAGGTTATTAATTATTGGTTCAACTTCTTTAATAGACACGGGTCTATTCTAATTGTCTATTTCTTCTTGTATGAGTTTTGACAAATTGTCTTTCAAGGAATTGGCCTATTTCGTCTAGCCTATCAAATTTGTGGATTTAGAGTTGTTCATAGTGTTCCTTTATTACCCTTTTAATGTCCACAGGATCTCCTTAGTGATGTTCCCTCTTTCACTGTTGATTTTTGTAATTTGCAGTCTTTTTTTTTTAGCCTGGCTAGAGGCTTGTTGATTTTATTGATCTTTTCAAAGAACCAGCTTTGGTTTTGTTATTTTTTTCTCTACTGATTTTTTTAGTTTTAATTTCATTAATTTCTGTTCTAATTCTTATTATTTCTTTTCTTCTGCCTACTTTGGATTTAATTTGCTTTTTTCCAACTTTTCTACGGTGTACACACAGGTGACTGTATCTAGACCTTTCTTCTTTTCTAATACAGGCATTCAATGCTATCAATTGTGCTCTAAGCACCACTTTTGCTGTATCCCCCCAAATTTTGATATGTTTTGATTTATATTTCATTTAAAATATTTTAAAATTTCCTTGAGATTTCTTCTTGAACTCATGACTTATTTAGAAGTATGTTGTTTACTCTCCATGTATTTTGGATTTCCCAGTTATCCTTCTGTTACTGATTTCTAGTTTATCCATTGTGGTCCGAGCACAGACACTGTATGATGTGTTCTTTTAAATGTGTAAGATGTGTTTTCCAGCACAGAACGTGGTCTATCTTGGTGAATGTTCCAGGTGAGCTTGAGAAGAGTGGGTGTTCCACTGCTGAGACTATATAACATTTAATTATGCAGTCGCCCCTCTTCTTCATAATATAGCTGCAAAAAGCAGTCAATAGTCTCTACATTAAGCATGCGTGGAACTCCAGGTAGTGACAGAGTACAGGGTTGAAGGGCCGGCAGATATACAGTGATGTGAGCACATACCTCTGCTCTCCCACGCTGCTTCTAACAGCCACACTCCTGAGCGCTGGGGGCCTGTGAGCGACGCGGTGACCGCAGCTGTCTCAAGGCAGCATCTCCATACTGAATACCTGAGCCCATTCTCTCTGGGTCCAGCTCACCTGAGGAAAAGCAAGTCTTTTAAAAAAAGTTTTTATGTTCCTGTGATCCCCAAAATATATTAAGTGAAAAACCCAAAAAACAATGTGCAGAACACTGTGTATATACACCACTGCTTTTAATAAAGAGGGGAAAAAAATATACGTTTGCTTGCACAGGCACAAAGTATCCCTGAAAGACACATAAAGAGCTAATAAAAATGGATGACTCCAAGGAGCTCAGGTGGCTAGGGGACGGGGCGGAGGTACTGGAAGGCGACTTTCACTGCATCTTTTATACTTTTTGAATTTAGAATTATGTGACTATATTATGTATACAAAGGTAAATTAACGTAGAATTAAACTACAAAGATGCCACTTTTCACTTATCAGAGTGGTGAAATACACCCAGACATGACAATATGCCCCGTGGGCAGGGCTTTGGCGACGGGCAGCTCACTGCTGGGGAAGACAGGCTGCTGCCACCCTGGAGGAGGGGCTGGACAGCCTTACCTATGTTCCAAATGCCTATGTTCTTTGACCCAGCAAGTCCACTCCTGGAAATTTATCCCACACATACATTCACACACGTGAAATGACTTATAAGAGGTTATTTACTGCAGCATTATCTGTGACAGCAAAATACTGGCACCAACCCAAAGGTCCAAAGTAGGCTAGTGTCAATAAATGAGGTTTACCCGATTCGATTTTGTTAAGTATTTTCCTGGCACATTGTACAAAGGCTTCTTCTACATTCTCTCCCGTCAGTGCACTTGTTTCCAGGAACATCAGCTCTAAAGTGGACATCAGACAAAACAGATTCGTATTAGACGACAGTCGTCATTCAATTACTAACAGCCTGTTTAGCATTTTCCTAGGGTAGCAGGCGGGATGCAGTCTATTACTTAAAACCATGTATTTCTGTAAATATAAAGTCAGTAAATCAATCTCTCCGCCCTCCCCCCCCCC